TTGACACCAGAAGGTTCATAGGATTGTATGCCTTCAAGTTTTTATTTTTGTTGTGGTACAGGGGTTGCAAGCAATTAGGTGTCCCCCAGGACTATACTTTGACATAGAAGCTCAGACATGCAATTGGAAGGACCAGGTGAACAATTGCAACAAGAAGAACAAGGACAGAAGAGCCAAACCCTTGTTGGCTACTGAGGAGCCCATTTGTCAGGTAAAAATAACATTCAGATTACAAAATCTGTTTCTCTATTTCTCAGGAACTCATATTTATGTTGGGTATACAATGTTTGTGGTTTTTTTCCTTGTTATATTTTGCAGGAGGATTACTTGGCCTGTGGAGATACCACATGTATTCCAAGGAAGCAGTTCTGTGATGGCACTGAGCAATGTGCTGATGGCTCAGATGAGGCTTCCTGTGGTGAGTGGATTTTGTTTACATTTTGGAATGGGTGTCTGATAAGTTTTTCTTTTCAAACTTGCCAAAAACAAACTGGGAAAAAAACTTCTCTGATTTCTGAAAAACAGCTTGAACTTTTGAAAGTATCCAAAATTAAACCAAGTCCTGAAGTAAAATGGCTAGGTTTTTTCAAGAAGTAGTAGAGGACTGATTTTGTTGGGAATGGGTGGCTACTTTCTGTTTGCCCCTACTGATACTTTGAGTGATGGGGTATGACTTCTGAAGGCCTAATTGTATTTTGAAGCACCTTCTGATAGACTTCTTACTATACAGATGAAGCAGTACACGCTTCAGGGTTCTCTTAGAACATATCTGCATTGAATATTTTTGGTTCCCCTGAATTTTTTTGCTGATTATATTCCTGTTGAAATACAATATATTTTTTCATTATTTGGAATTATTGAGTGTCTTCAAATAACACCTTGCAAGGTTCCATAGAGTTATTTCAGTTGGACTCTCTCAACAACGATTTTCTCTGTATAACGAATTTTGTTTTGGTCCAACAGGGTTCTATTCTCTCTTTACACTTGGTTGTTTTTCTTGAAATGAAATGAAAAAAATGTGAAGAGTCCACCTGCAATTCAAAATGCCTCTTTCTGTCTGTCTCTCTGTTTGTATCTGTCTCTGTCCCTCCTTCTGTCTGTCTGTCCCTCCCTCCTTCTGTCTGTTTGTCCCTCCCTCCTACTGTATGTCCCTCCTTCTGTCTGTCTGCCCCTCCCTCCTTCTGTCTGTCCCCTTTTCTGTATGTCTGTCCCTCCTTCTGTCTGTTTGTCCCTTCTTCTGTCTGTCTCTCCCTCCTTCTGTATGTCTCTCCTTCTGTCTCTCCCTCCTTCTGTCTTTCTAGCCTTCTGTCTCTCTCTCCTTCTGTCTTTCTAGCCTTCTGTCTCTCTCTCTCCTCCTGTCTCTCTCTCCTCCTGTCTCTCTCTCCTCCTGTCTGTCTCTACTCCTGTCTGTCTCTCTTTCCTCCTGTCTGTCTCTCCTTCTGTCT